GAGGTTTCCTCCCCACCCTACCCCCTGAAGATTGGGGGGCATTCTGCCTGTTTTACTTCTCCACACCCGTTTAAGTCAAAGAGGTTTAAAAAAATATTAACATTAAAATAAATATGCAGTGGCCATGAGAATGGTCAAAATGCTTCAAAAAACACTAGGGGCTGGAGAACCCGGGGGTAGGGTGTGGGATTTCCTTTGGCATAAGGAAAGGAGGCTGCTTGTCTTCCAGGCCTCCTCACAGTCACATGAGGAGGGACAGAGGAGGCCCCACCTACTCAGCACTGCTGACAGGTATGCTGAAGGGGCAGCAGGGAGTGGGCAGCCACCAGAAATCTCATCTAGCAAAACAATGGGGCTCACGACAAATACTCCAATTCTTCCTGTCATTGCCAAACGTTGATAAAGGAGAACACGACTGGTACCCCGAGAGTCGTCTCTGGAGGTCCCAACTTCCTGTTCCCCTGCCCCCCACCACCTAATTCCCAGCACCAAAATGAGAGGGAGGGGGTGGAATGGGAAGATTCCAGGAAGAGAATCGAAGTTTGGGGGCAAGCTCTGCAGAACCAGCAGGATGGGGGATGAGGGGTGGGGGGCTGCAGCCCTTAAGAGAGGTCACATTGATTGTCATACAGGGGAGGACAGAGTGTGAAGGGAGGTGGGCAAGAGGGCGTCTCAAGGCCCTTTGGCTTTGAAAACAAAAATAAAAACTAAAAAGCTGCACAATCCTTCTTACCAATAATGGTCATCAGGAAGCTTTGAAATGGTTTAGGAACTGAGGGGTGGGGAAAGCAAGACACACAGAGAGGATAAAAAGGGCCATGACCAAAAAAAATAAAAATAAAAAAAAATAAGGACTTGGACAAACACCCCAGGCATTAGGGAACCAGCATGAGGTATGGTTAAGGGTATCTGTTAGGGAGGGAGGGGCCCTGGGATGGCCCCTCTTCCCTCAGCCCACCCTCGGCAAGGGTGGCAAGATTTGCAGGGGCCACAAGTGAAAAATGGGTAAGACTGTGAATAAAGCAAGTGTGGGTAGGGGCAGGAGACTGAGGGATCCCTTGCGGGGAGACCCTCTTCTGTGTAAACGAAGCCTGTCCAGTTCTCAGGGGACAATACTGATGGCAGCCAAACTGGGCAAGGATGCACTGTGGGGGTGGAGGGGGCATGACCTCTATTCAAGTTCTGTGTCTTGGCCCCGGGCTGAGGTATTGAGTGTGAGGAAGGGAACACTGGGATACGGGAGTGGGAGCGGGTCCAACTGTCCAGGAGGCTTAGCTAGGAGATGGATGGACAGGGCATTTGAAGGGACCAGGGCCAAATTCAATGCTACATTTAGAGAAAAAACTGCCCCCACCCGGGCCCAGTTTGGCTTTTGGGTTGCCACTTTGAGGAATCTTCTCAGTGCAGCCCCTAGTTCAACCCCATCTCTCCCTGCTGCTGGGAAGGCAGGGACCAAGCCGCAGTGTCTGTTGGATGCTCCTTAGATCAGAGCTTCATCCTCACACTGGAGGGGAAGCCTGGGTCCCTAGTAGCCACAGTCCCTAGTCTGCCCTGCCCCTCCCACCATCTTTGGCTTCAGATCAGGAGTGACTGGGGGCAGTGGGTACTCTTGGACATAATGGAAGGTGGTGGCAGACAGGGAGCAGAGAGGAACTATGGAGTTGGGGGGCACAGGAGGAAGAACATGGTCCCTCTCTCCACACACATGCAAACACATGCCTGAAACACATAGGACATACTAGGGCTGTGGTTTTGAAATGCGCAGGAAATTAATTTGTTTCTTCCCCTAAAGGATAAAATGCTTACTTAAAAATTCATGACAAGCCTCAGAGTTAAGGGAGAGGAGAGCCAGGGAGGGAACGGCCAGAGGCTCTGCCCTCCCAAAAGAAGATAAAAGAAAGAAGCGAGGTTAAAGTGCGTGGTTAGGGGGCCAGGCCAGGAAAGCAGAGAGGGGCAGGCTGTGGGGGCAGAACCAGCCCTTGATTTGCATATGAGGAGCCAGGGGAGAGTACAGGATTGGGGCCCAGGTACAGTAGTTGCTGCTTCAAGTGTTTTGCATTTGAACTTTAGGGGTGATGGGGTACAGAAGTGGGGGTAAAGCTCCAGGCCCCAGTGCTAAATACCCTCCCCCCTTGTCCGCTAGCTGCCCCTGAAGGGGGAGGGGGACACCCCCAGAGTGCTCACACAGTACCAGAAATTAAGGCTTCTCACTGCTGCGGGGATGGAGG